TTTTCTTCCCTAAATCTGGAATTCTTCTTCTCTCTTTTTGTCGGTGGATTTGCTAACCTCTGATTCAATCAATATTACTACTCTTTCTTTCTCTCGTCAGTGATTTTACTTAAATCTTCAGCTTGTTTCATATGAATAGATCTTGTTTTTACTCTTTAGATTAGTTCTATCAGATTTTCTCCGATGATTTTTGTTATTGTAATTCATAGTTGACTTTTTGTTCTTGTTGATGATGATTGGATTTTGTGGTGTCTGGATTCAACTGTTTAGTTGCGTGGATTAGGGTTTTAGATACGTGTGGGATTTGTCTTGTATTTGAATTCTTTTTCTTTTGTTTTTCTCTCTAATAGATGGGCTAATGTTGTTAATATGATCTGTGTAGGTGTGTTTGGTGGAGTTAAGCCTGAAAAAAAGGTTACAAGTTTGGAGTTGGATATAAAATTTCGACTATGTCTGGAAACCAAGAGGTGCTTTTAATCCCCCAGCTAAAACTTATAATGTTTTAGTAATTCCCATATTTGATGTTTTTTTTTTTCTTCTTCCTGTATCCTTGGTATTATCAGTCTGGGATCAGGTTACCGACTTGGCGGCGCAGCGATTTCAATGCTGCTATTCCAATCAAGAAGAGGAAGTACTTTGTGCAGCCGCAACTTCCGGCAGTGGAAGAAGCAGGCTCTTCTGCACTTTTAGAGAATAATCCACAGCCTAATGAGCAAAGTGGTGATACTAGTGTTGGTAATAAGAGTGGTTTGGATTCATCTGGTGCTGATGAAAATCAGAAAGCGATTGGGAGTATTAGAGAATCGGTCCCTTCATTTCCGTCTGCCCCTGCGGGGAATGCTGATAAAGCAGATAGCATTGGGACTATTAGTGGCCAGATTAGAGTGAAAGATGAGGAGCCTAATTTTCCAGTCTGCTCTAGTCCTTTCACGGGTTTTGAGATCCCTTCGAGTTCGAACATACTTGGCAGTTCACTCCGTTCTTCTCTGGGAAAGCTTCCTGTGGGTGCTGTACATCCTGGTGTAGTTGTCACGTCAGATAAAACTGGGGTGAAAGTAGAACAATCTGCTCTTAAGACCAATGACATTGTTAGAGGAGACCGACAAACAGAAGCATCTTCTGGTGCGGGTACTGAAACTAAAAACAATTCTCCATACTGGGAGAGTGAAGAGCCTACAGCTCTGAATTTGTCGTTAAGCAAGGGAGTTTATGCCCCTCATAACACAGATTGTGTTCCTACTTGTACGAAATCTGGATACCACAGTGGTGTGAATAGATCAAATTGGGATTTGAATACTACCATGGATGCTTGGGAAGATGGTTTAGATCGCAGAACTAGAGTTAAGACCAGTGGTGGATTCTTAAACAGTAACAGTACTCCTCATGATATAGAGACATCAAGTTGTCGTGATGCAACTATCATTACGAACTCTGTTTCTGAAAAACAGAAGGAAAGCGTAGGAGTTAAATCTCCAGCGATGACATTGATGAAGTTAGATCATCAGGTTAATCCCAATCCCACATGCTCGCTTAGTCTAGGCCTTGGTTCATATCCTCCTATTGAGAAATATCCTTCTCCATCAGCTACCACATCGGGGGCAATAGTTGCGTGTACAAGTTCTTCCAGACCAGTAATGATTGGTGGGAAACTGAACTCGGTAAACCTTAGGATTGTGAAGTCAGAAGTCATTGAAGAGAGTGTTAGGCAGGAAACTGAGAGTGCTCAAGTTTGTCCAATTAACAGGGTGAAACAGGAGGTTGTCGGTAGAATCAGTCAAGAAAACTGTCCCTCGCCTGGCATTTTGAAGTTAGTGAAACCTGTAGTATCAATAAAGGCTGAACCAAAGAGTTTCAGTCAATCTGAAGTTTTCAATAGTAAAGATGGACCGTTGAATCATTTCCATACACCAGTAACGCAATCAGATGCGATCCTTGATTTACCTACAAGCTCTACGCCAAACCAGAAGGATAAATGTATACCGTTTTCTAGTGCCATCCGCAATGCACCAATGTCCTTGAATGGAATGACGATAAATCAGGGTGTTCAGAGTTATCCCGACTATACAACAAACGAAAATTCAGACCAGAGTAACAGTGCCGCTAATGGAAAATTACGTGAAGTGCTGAAACATGATGGAATTAACATGACTTCATGTTCTGGTCGTGGAGATCATAACCTCAATACATCAGGTGTGAATGTTACTTCCTTGACTGAAGAGAAAATACGAGATGATTCAAAGACATGTATATCGAAAGAACTCCCTGGTAGTTATCATGGAACTGATGGAGTTGCTATAAGTAATGAAGAAAATACTGTTTTATCTGGTGCGGAGGAACTTCAAAGAGGAATATTTGATGGACTAGGTGAAAATGAAGGCCGGATAGTTAAGGATGGTGAACAGTCGACCCATCAAATCATTCACGCGAGTGAAGGAATGTCATCGGGTGTGTCTACAGCGTCAGGCGGGAACGTTGAAAACCCTGAAAATGTTAATAACAACAGTCCAGTTTCATACAAGGAAGAAATTTCTACTATTGACAATGATCCTCCTACAGAGTTCAGTGAAGGTAGTCAGAGTCGAATTATAAACCTTGCTCAGGTTTCTAGTAAATCTCCAATTAAGGCACTAGATGCTTCAGGCAGCTTTGTGCCTATGCAAATGGAAAGAGAGAGATTACCTGATTTCCCAGTTGAATCGCAGAGGTATCTTTCGAGAGGGAGGTAATATTTCTGAGCCAATTTCTTATCTCTATCCTTTATATATCTGTGTATGTACTTGAAATTTTCCATTAATGTTTCTTTGGCTAGTGATGAATCTTGCAAATTCTCGCGTGAGAGGTACCACGGCAAAGATATGAGAAGTCCGAGGTTAAATTTCATGCCTGACAGAAGGAGATTTTCTGATCAAACAGAAAGCAATCTGCATGGCAGAGACACAAAAAGTAAATTCATATCTAAGTTTTTTCAATGGAAGAACAAAGCTCATTGTTTCTAAAATTCAATGTGACTCATCTTATGAATGCAGATTTTGAGTTTGATAATCATGGAAACACTCGTCGGGGTGGTGCTTTTATGAGTAACTTTCGTAGAGGGAGACGGCCTGCAAATGACGAAGGAACGCCTTTTTCCCACTCCTTTCAAAGAAGAACCTCTAACTTTTCATTTACTCATAGAGGAGGACCAAGAAATAAAGAGGACACATCTGCCTTTCCCGGATTCAGAGATGGTGAAAAATCTACAAGGGGACTACAATGTAACAACACAGAACCAATGTTTATGAGTCCCCAACGCCCGTATCGAGGTCGGAATGGTGGTTTTGCTCAAGGACAAACAAATTTTTCAGACAACCCCAAACGAGATTTTCTTGGATTTCGTTCACGATCTCCAGTTAGATCAAGAGAACGATCAACTGGTCCATCCTCATCTTTCAGGAACAGATCACAGGAAGAGTTCGGTGGGCAGACAGACTTTTCTCACCGGAGATCACCCTCAAGTTACAGAACGGAGAGAACAAGCTCGCCTGATCATGCTGGTTATCCAAGGGACACGGTTGTCAGAAGACACAATTCTCCACCTTACTCGCATAGACCATTCAATGCTGGAAGGGGCCGAGGTTTTTCAAGGGGCCGAGGCTATGTAAGGGGCCGAGGTTATGTAAGGGGCCGAGGGTATGGAAGGGTTGGCGATTCTTTTAGGAAACCATCTGATCGTGTTGAACATAGGAACCATGGAAACCATGGAAACCTGAACAACTTGAATCCTCGAGAAAGGGTCAACTACAATGATGATTTCTTTGAAGGACCAATTCATTCTGAACGATTTGGTGTTGATGTTAATGTTGAGAGAAGGAGATTTGGTTACAGACATGATGGGACCAATTCTTTTAGACCATCATTTAACAAGGATGGTTGTGCACCTACTAACGTAGAGAATGACCCTGATGCTGTGAGATTTGAACAGGACCCGCATATTGAAAATGATGAACAAGGGAGTGATATGGAAATTGATGGACAAAATGAGAACTCAGCTGAGAATGCATCTGGAGGAACTAAGAATATGAACGAGGAGGAAACGTCAAAGCAAAGTAAAATTTGGCAGCGGGATGAGCTCGGTGGTGATGGGTTCTAGAAGAAAGGTTAGTATTCAATTTGCTTGAACCTTTTTAAGTCCAGGAAGGTATAAGTGATAGTGAATCAGGTATCCAACGGAAGCTCAGGGATTTTTTGCCACGGCTGAGACTAGTTAGTTGCCTATTACGGTGGCCAACTGGCCATTCCAATCTGATGCGAAGGGACACTCTGCTCTATTGTGTTAAAAAGTTGCGAAATTGTTCATTGCTTGGCTGTGTATATAGTGCATTTCTCTTGTGATATCAACTAAATTTAGTTGCCTTTGTTGCAGTGATTCAGATTTCAGTGTTGTCCTCTGCACTGTAGTACTGACTACAAACTTGGAATGGATATAAAAGTGAAGCAAGATGGTGTAAATAAATGTGGGAGTTTGTCGCGCTTCTCCAAACCCAGTGAACCCCAGCCGGCTTTGTAGGTAGAATGTGACTAGTCTAACAGATATGAGGAGAGGAATGACTAAGGTGTTCCAAGAGAGGATTTCTTTCCTCTTGTTAAAATACATGGTTCCAGACTTTTCACCTGTACAACTATTCAGGCAGGAGGAAAGTGCACGTTTTGATGATGAGTCTCTTGCCAAAGACTAGAGTGCTCTACTCATAGTTGGACTTGCCAGGACCATAACTACTCCACTATATGGTTGAGCTATAACTGCTTTTGGCTTTGAACATTCACATTCATCTGCGAGGTTCTTCTAACATGATGTCATCAATTTAGCTTTAGGTACGCTCCCGATGATTGATAAGTACACATCTTGGTGGAACTTGAAGCATAATTGAAATGTTGAAAATGGCCGCTGATTATCTATTGATATGATTATGGACAAAAGGAGTGAGACTTAAAAGGGTCAGTATGTTTGATATCATTGTCTCATGCTATCAAGTTGAAGCATGCACATTTTGGGATTACTGGTCCTCGGTTAGAGCAGACTGGGAACGGCCAAAGCTGCAACACCCGTTTGGAGCCACTTGTTTGTTTATTGATTCCTTTTCTTTTTCCTCATTGCAAGTGAGTTCGAACTTCAAAGGTATCTCACCATCCTTTCGTAACAAGAACTCACATATTCATTTGTAAGGAAAGGAATATTTCTGATTGATGATGATGATGTTTGCTTCTCCAGTATGTGCATGTAAAAGATTTAAGACATGAGACTAAAGTTTCACCTGGTTTAATGAGGAGAATTTCTGATTAGGGGATGTGTATTTAGTAATGTGTTTCTGAGGCAAGAGACTGAAGTTTTTTAGAGACTGATGTTATGTGTGATGAGACCATGGCTACCTCTTGGCTCTTGACCATGGTTTGCAAATCCGTCAACATACATGTCATATGATGATGTATAAAATGTGTAAAAGGTGCCTTTGAACTAATTACAACTTAAAAAGTAGGCTCTTTAGTTGTGAAATTTGTGTACCATGATCTAATCTCTGGGGTTATCAGACCAAATATTCTTATATACATCTCATCAACGAAGTACCTTCTCTAAGTTTGTTATGTGTTTGTTAAGTATGCAATTTGTAGCTATTATAATATTTTGCAAAAGCTAACCTGGGAAGTTTTAGTCGTACCCAAAACTTTTACTAGTTCTGAACATCATCCTCTCAAGTATGCTACTTTTCAGAATTCTCCAATTTATATAATTCAAAGTAAATAGCAGGTAGTTGACCTCCAATTCAGCAGTTTATCAACACCATATAAAATAAAAGATACAGACAAGAAAGAATCAAAAGAAAAAAATACAGAATACAAAGAAAAGTACACCAAAATTTCAATTCAATCCTTCTTGAGATAAACTGAGAGTTTTGTTTGTTATCTCCTCTTGTTCTTGCTACCCAAAAGCAGAGAAAAGTAGAACAAGATTCGAAAGAAGAATCCCCAAGCTACCGTCACCCACAAGCAATTCCATTTGCTCAAATCCGTAATCCCTTGCTGCTGCAAAATTTCGTAACCTGTGGTCAAGCAAGTAGAGCTTGTGATCCTCATCCCAAGTGATTTGCTCATAGTTGCCAAAAGCCTAACTTTCATCCCCTGAGGCACCGCGACTAGAGGCGTGTTGTCGAATATCTGAACTCCTTTGATGAAACACTTTGTAGGGTCACTGAATTCGTTTAAGAGAACAGCTTCGTAAGGGTACTTGACTAAAGAGATGTAATGGAACCATATCCAGTAAGAAGGGATTCGATCTCGGTTGATGAAGAATCCACTGAAAAGCAAGAAATAGGCTAAGATAGCTACCACAATGGTGTAACCAAGCATTACGTGTGGGACAACGCCTGATAAGAAGGTGACAAATGAGCTTCCTGCCCAAAATGCGGCTAAGACGATAAGGAAGTAGAAGAGGAAACCCATGAGACCTCCATCTAATCCCACACCCCAAAACGTGGTTGCTGCGAAAGCAAGCGAGAGGATGATTAAGGAAGGGAGGGCAACTAGAGAGTGAGAGAGTACATAGGAGGATCTTCGGTAAGCGTTGTAAGCGGTTTCTCTCATGAAAATGAATCGTTCTTGGAGGAAAACGGGGAGAGCGTCTGCGCAAGTGTAGAACGTTGTGGACATTGCAAATGCGAAGAATCCGAGACGTTCTTGGACTCCTTTGGGGGAATTATCTAGCTGCCAAAACATTGTGGCTAAGATGAAACCAGTGACAAGAACAGCTCCTAGTCGTATCCCGAATAGCTCAGGCTGTCTACGGTAATTAGTCATTGACCGTTTGGCTAGAACCAAGAGTTCGACCCAGAACGGGTTTGCGAATGTAGGAATGGTGGAAACAAGGTTGGAGCCAGAGCTTGGAGTCGTTGAAGTGGCTCCAGAGACAAGCTTCCCTTTGGAGATGCTTGCACTGATGGCTTCTTTTAAGGACAATCCTGTTGTATGAGTTCTTGGCTCTGCTTTCCTCTGTCTAAAGCCTTTGTTGAATTCAACCAAACTTCTTGTTCCACCAGCGGATCCTTCGAGCTCTCGAATCAAATCCAAGGCGAACTCGGTGCGGTTCTCGTGCTCGGGAATCGGGTGGCCAAACTCTGCGAAGAAGCTCGGTAGCATCGCGGGCGATCCGCTGAATACGGTTTGTCCACGGGACAAGAAAAGAAGGCGATCGAGCAATCGAAGAAGACGGTAACTAGGCTGATGAAGAGTCATGATCACCATACTTCCACTCTGTGCTATTCGTTTAAGAACCTTAATAACACTTAGTGCACTTGTAGAGTCCAAACCAGAGGTTGGTTCGTCAAGGAAAAGCAGAATCGGATCGTGGATGATATCGATCCCGATCGACACTCGCCGCCTCTCTCCACCGGAGATTCCACGGTGTCCTTCATCTCCGATCACCGTTTTGGCCGCGTTTCTAAGTCCTAATTGGTCAATCAAGGCTTGAACGCGGAGATTCTTCTTCGATTTCGAAAGGCTTCTCGGTAAACGAAACTCCGCGGCGAACATTAAGGTTTCTTCAACGGTAAGCATCGGGAAGAGAAGATCGTCTTGCATCACATAAGCTGAAATCGCTTTTTGCATTTTCGAATTGAGAACTTCCCCGTTTAGAGTCACGTTTCCTTTCAAGCTTCCTTTTGCGATTCGATTCGCTAACGCATCGATCAACGTCGATTTTCCGGATCCACTAGCTCCCAGAACAGCCAGTATCTCTCCGTCACGAGCCTCTCCGGATATTCCGTTGAGAAGCGTCTTCGTTTTGGAAGAGTATAGACTCTCCGACGAAGCTCCCACGATCGGATCTGAAGGAACGCGTCTCCAAGTGAACTTCCGGCGAACTTTCACGCTGTAAGTGAGATCGTTGAAGGAGAGAACGAACGGTACGGATCGGTCCGCTGACTGTGAGGTGAGATCTACATCAACGTGATGCTGGTGGTTGTGACCAATCCTTGTGTCGCCGACATTCTTCAAGAGCTTTGCGAACGACGGAGAAGACGTGCCTGAGCTAGGCTCCGGAGAGAAGAACGGTAACGACATGTTGTCGTCTGCTGCAACCACACGGGACATAGTGAGAGATTTGAAGCGGGAAAAATTAACGGCGTTAAAATAACCGTTAGCC